AAAAAAAAAAAAAAAAAAAAAGGGGGTATATAATATACTCCCTACTCGCACATTGCTTTCCCAACTACGTCACGATGTATGGCTTAAGCCCAGCTCTTCAATTCAACATACCTTAGGGAGAGTCAAATGAACTAGATTGTTCCGACCCCCGCCATACCTGTTATCCACTGCTGGTCATCCCAACCGCAGTCGTGATCTTGATGGTTACCCCCAGTTTAGAAAACATTATCCAAGGTTAAGACGTTCAGCGATCTGGATGCAATTTGATTAACGCCTGCAACTAGCGAGATTACTTTTGCTGCGGTGGCCAAACAAAACATGCAGTATGAAACTGACAACGCTATCTGCATCTCGAGGTTTGATCTTGAAGACTTACTACGATTCAAGCAATTTTCGAGCCCTGGGAAGCTTTCACTTGATGAATAAAAGCGGGCTTCCTCCTAAAATTATGTATGTCTAGACGGCTACGCCTATATTCTCGCTACCTGGACTGGGAGATTAAGAGAACTATAATTATGAAGAATAGCAATTCTGTGAATATAAACTAGTTACCCAACTGAAGTGAAAGAAACTTCAATACGTTACCCTGCATGGCTCAGGTATACGGTACTTGCACATATAACACCCGATTCAATTACAATCAACGGAGAATATAGAGATGGCCTGTGTTTAGCTCAGTGTTACCTACCGAGTTTCTCTATTTTACCCTATCTGCCTAGGATCGGGCTCATGCTACCCGGTTTATGCCTTGGTCTACTTCAGCAGTGCTCTTAGACTAACAGGAAGACAGAGATGCCCCCAAAAGATTATATAGTACGCTAATCTTCTCAACACAAGATGTAATTGAAGCGGAGTAGGGCCCCAGTGAATGAGTGAATGAAAGTGAGCACTCAGTCGATAATGACAACCATGAAAAGCACTGCAGTCAACAGTCTTGCCGGCCTCTGATTCCACCATTGGACTTCTTTTTTTTTTGATCTTCCTCCAGAATGGCAACCTCTTGATCCTCAACAACTGACAACATTCTGCACATACATCACCGATAACGTGCGATTCTCTTCATCTATTTATCCTTCTTTTGGCAAGGGGTATTAGGGATAAGTGCCCGGGAGAACGTCCTTAACTAGCTTCTTTGCAAGGCTCTCTCCAGACGGTCATGGTTTAGAGGGGATATGCAAAATATTAGGCCGATTTAATTTTTTGAACTCTGGTGCACGACGTCCGCGTTGGACCTTTAATCCTAGAACTGCAACAAAACTAGAGAGCAGTAGGTAAGTTTGGCTCGCATGCTCTCATACTGCCTCATGGTGAGAGTCATATATAGAACATACCACACTGTCAGGCAAAGATACTGCGTACTAACAGGGTAGCCTAGGCGCAGTGACTGAGGCAACTGTGGACAAAATGAATGACACCACTGCAGAGCCTACTTACTCCTATCCACCTCGTCCAGCAAGGGCATCCTTCAATATTACACGCGAGTTGCACGTTGCATGCTTACTGGATGATATTGAGCGAGTCGTTGAATTACTTGCGATGGGAGCAGATCGCGATGCCCTTAGCTACGCTGATTATTCTGCGCTTGATGTCGCTGACTTGTTGAACCGAGTAAGTGTTGTCAAATGTCTGTTGGCACAAGTGAATATCCAAGAGACCGGAATGCTAGAGCTCATGTACGCTATCCGTCAGGGTAGATCGACTGTTGTACGAGCTCTGCTAGAGATGGGTCTTAATGACCAGCTTCAGGACGAGGCGCTGTTCCGTGGCGTTTTCCTCATGGCGTGCTATATTGGAACGACTTTTGTCGTCAATGCTCTGGTCAAATATGGCCCGGGTCTTTTTATCTCTCCTTTCGAGGATATGTTTGTTCATGTTGCCATGTTTCTGAACAATACCGAAGTAGCTGATACAATTCGCGATATTGCTGACATTGAACGCCGCAAGATGTTCAGAGATGTCGAGGTATGTGATCCGAGACGAAGCTCAAACAGCTCAGAAACTGATCAACACGAACTTTGGGCTAGGCATATATGCTTCCAAATTCTTACTTGGAGGTGACTGAGGACACTGACAAGGTCTTTTCTGATTTTTTGAATGACCCTAACTCACCTAACTTTGATGCATCGCCTGAGCACGATGAGCAGCTGTTGATCGATTCGTGGCTTTGATCAGCTCTTGTGCTGACGGTGATATACTGTAGGAAAAGTCCTGTTGAACCTATCATGCAGCCACGTTTTGATTCAGACTGAGATGGGGAAATTGGCTGCTGAATTTCTTCCAGACGTCGTCATTGCTGAAGATTGGACTGCAGACCCACTGCGCTTGAGGGATATTTGACAAGATAAAAGATATGTACAATAACGGAATACAATTTGAGCTCAGGGACTCACGCAATAAATGGTGATACTCTAGAGGAAAAGCGACTCGAGAAAAGGCAAAGTTAATGCTTTGTTTATTGGATTCTTGGTCTATAAATTGGAATCGTGCGACACATATTGTCTGTACAAAAAGCGAGGTTTTGAAACCACTTTCTTTACATCCCACCCACAGCTTTTTTTTTTACGGTAAAATAGATAAGAAAATAGATCAATGTCATTCCTAATCGTTTATGCAATTCAATTTCTTACTAGTTATTACCCGGCATTTATCTAATCGAATTGCAGCGCAGCGTGGGCTCTTGGCTAGTAGGTTTACCCTAGTACTACTCCGTACTACTATTACAGATGCCTTTTTTAACAACCGATGCCTAGAAATAGTAAGAGCACTGATACTCGGCAGTATTGCCAAATCGGGACGCCGACGGATTCATACTCCATATAATGCTTCATGAGTCACCGATGCCTCGTATTGAAGGCACCATCACTACTAGTGCTTCAAAGTGGAGACTGAATCGTTACTACGGGGGATCTCCGCTACCTAGAGAGTATAAAACTAAGTTATCACAACTTCTACGTGGTTCATCCTTCCCTCGAAGATCACATAGACACATTCATAAATATCGTACATTTCCCCCGGATTGAAGACGTCTTCATTCTCATGTCTGTTTGATATACACCATCATGGCCGACAGCGGAATATCACCAGACTCCATACTATCGGAGCTCTCCACGACTCCATATGCCTGCTCATCTGTCGAGCAATTAAGCGGTGGGACCGCCAACTTCGTCTTTCGTGGCACTCTGCTTCGTTCACGTCCAGATGGAACCACAACGGTCGTTATCAAGCATACGGAGGACTATATAGCATCAAATCGAGAATTCAAATTATCTGCCCAACGCTGTGTAATGGCTCCTGCCCTAATACATGACGAATAATCCTGGCTGATACTCTAACATCCAGCTCATCGAAAAATCCATTTTAACATCACTTAATAACTTCCCTAGCTCAAAAATAACGAACGATGAAGACACAGCCAGTCAATTCACGGCGAAAACACCCCTTATATACTCATTCAATCCGCTCACTCACACCCAAGTTATGGAAGATCTTCCTGATTCGGTAGATCTAAAATCATTTTTTGTCTCGCCCAGCTCGTCTCGAACCGTGCCCCGTGAATGGGCGGTGTCTCTTGGCCGGGCATTGGGGCACTGGCTGAGTTCCTTTCATTCATGGGCCAAGGAGCCGGCACAGGCTGATGTGGCTATGGAATTGGAGCAGAACCACTTCTTCCGGGATTTGAAGTTCAGCATAAACTATGATAGCTTGGTAAACATGGTCAGCAAGTACCCTGAGATGTTAGAGGGCAGCCGAGCCGTTTTCGAGAAGGTCAGGGATATGGCGAAGAGTGAGTCGGGGAGGAAAGATGGAGAGGGATTTGGAGTGATCCATGGGGATTTCTGGCCAGGCAAGTAAGTGTCGCTGTGTCTTTCTCTCTCTCTCTTTTCTTCTTTTACTCTCGAGGGTAAACAGGAGAAGTGGGGTTACTAATAATGTCAGTATCATACTTCCGAAAACTCCACTGGATACACAGTACTCTAACACTCCCCTATTCATCATTGACTGGGAACTCGCTCAGTGTGGCACTCGGGCTCTTGATCTAGGCCAAATGATGGCTGAGTTGTACGAGCTAAAGCACTACAAAGATATCGATTCTGGAGTGTGGATTATTCAGGGTATCACGGAAGCGTATCCTGCTTTGGGTGAAGAAATGGCATTCCGGACCTTAATCCACGTAGGGACCCATTTGATCTACTTTGGCACTACGGTCCCTGGATGGGGAACTGAAAGGCAGATTGCTGATGTTGTGAGGCTTGGGAGAGATCTTATTGTCAAAGCCTGGGAGAAAAATAAGAATTGGTTCAAAGGAGGGGTGTGGGAGTGTTTGTTCAAGAAGTAAGGAAACTCTAAAGTTTGCTATATCCGGTTTATAGTAAAGATAAGAGCATTGTGTAAGCAAAAGCCTTTACTTATAACTTAGCTGTAGGAGGGATATGTCAGTCAAACCATCCTACAGATGGATCGTTACTACATATTCGCCCGCTGGGTGAGTAACCGGTTCCTGAACAGTGAACAGTCCATTTACATGGATAATTTCCCCACCCGCAACAGTGACCACTGCCGAGTTGAGGCCCAAATTAACCCTTTATATCGAGCAGACTCGTTGAATGGGGAGAGACGTGCAGGTCGTTCAGCCGGGGACAACAACGCCGTAGCTCAGGACCCGTTCAACTCATCAAAAGGCGTGGAAAGATCTTATATACTAGGTTGGGAACCCAAACATGGAACAATATAACACCCTTGCAACGCTTGGGACTTCTGCGAGCCCGGATGCTTCGATCAGAGTTGCCTTAGTAAACATACGCGGGCATTGATTGGTGACAGGATGGAGAAGAGGAAGAGTAGCTGATTTTCTGAACTATAGGCTAGACTTATATATGGAACGCCTTAGAGATCGAACAAGATAGAATATTTGAAGGCGGCGGCCTGGTATCACAGGCTAAGAGTGCCATCAGTCGTCTACAATTACGCTCTTGATATGCACACCTCACCGGGTATAGTTCTCCGAATTTTCCTTTTTGCTCAGATCACACATATCGAAAAATCAAATGGCCTTAGTTTGAATTAATTCTGTATGGTTTAAATTGTATGATATATGCCGTAGCCCTGTACAAACAAGCGACTTATCCATCAAAAGCGAGTGGACAGTGCATTATAACACCACTCATATGCCAGTGGTCACATCGTCTATAATTTTGCTCGGAAATCGCTCCGTATGGATTCGAGGCCTGATGGTCCATTATAAATCTGTTGCTCAAGAAGCCGGGTATTGATCTATATAGCGTAAGCATCGGAGTATGTCTGATGGGGAACCTCGCTGTCATTGAGACAGTAACAAATGAGTCTTACATGTTGGAGGCCCAGCTTATCCACAGTTTCTACACCAAGTAACCGCATGCATGTCTTGCTCTCGTCCGCCAGTACTAAGCTCCGGTCAGTCGTTTGTTTTTCAGATATCAGGGTTTCAAACATACTCTGCAAGGTTCGTTTAACACCATCGACACCGCCAGCCCCAAGGCCCCACAGGGCAGGTCGCCCGATTCCCACAGCCTTCGCCCCCAAGCATAGCGCTTTTACAACATCTGTACCACGCCGGATGCCGCCGTCGACCCAAACTTCCAATCTATCGAATACTTCCGGGCAATATTTTCTGATCTCCATCAACGTATGCACTGCTGGGGGGGCAGTGTCGAGGGCACGGCCGCCGTGATTCGAAAGAATAATGCCTTTGACTTGAGGTGTATGGAGAGAAGCAATATAGGCGTCCTCATGAGTTTGCAGGCCCTTTAGGATAATTGGCAAGTCAGTGCGCTCAGCCAACCATGGCAAAGTTTCTTTCCAGGTCAGTGAGGGATCAGTTCCAGCGAAGAGCTGCTTTCCAACACCGCCAGAAGATTGATTGATCCGAGAGGTTTCATCTTCAGCACTATCTGCCGCCTTGGCCGCGCTTGGAATTGGTGCTGATGCCCCGACAGCATTTCCTCGCTCGTCATCTTCTCTTTTGCCCGGCACCGGGGCATCCAGGGTCAGAACAATGAACTTGATTTGCTTGAGTTTGTTTATCCGTGCCAGCATCGCTTCACTCTTCTTGCGATCAATTTGGACATAAATCTGCCATCCAAATACTTGGTCCGGGGCTGCATCTTTTACAATTTGCTCTGGTGTCATAGATGCGTTGTTTGAGATAACCTGCATGGCTCCAAAGCTGCGACAAGCTTCGGCGATACCTGCCTCACCAGCCGGATGGCCCAACCGAGCCATCGCGGCAGGGGACACATAAATTGGCATTCCTAGCTTCTGTCCCAGCAACGTAGTATCTAAGCCACACTGTGTGCAGTCAATGAAAACCCGTGGCCGTAAGAGAATTGAGCGATAAACTTCCGTGTTGAATTGTTTGGAGATTTTATCATCAGAGGCGGAATAATAGTAGGCCCACGCCTTCTTGCTCACGTTTTTAGTAGCCACCTGTTCGATGTCGTCCATGTTGAGGAGAGACTCCATTGGGGGTGGGCCCTCCGTCTCCTCGCTTGACGAGGGTACAGGCTCAGCCTGCACCTTCGGAAGAGTATCTGGGTTGACAATTCCAAGCATCGCTTCTGGCTTCAGGTTTTCTTCTAATATTCCCGGGGGGTGGATGGGGTCGTATTCTTCGGTTGCATCCTTTCCAGCGAGCTTTAAAATAATTTTGGAGCCACCGGGGTGCTCGGAGAGGAAGTCGGTGACCTATAACAATAAGTTTTGATGAATTAGTCTGAGGTCTAACATGTATAGATTGAAGCTTTCTTTCTTAAACAAAGTCGTACATCGTAGACTTTCCCATATAGGATTACCCAGCAACTGTCTGGGGTATTATGTTTCGCGACTGAACGGTTGGTTACCAGTTAGCACATCAGCCTGGCAACAAGTCAGGCCAGAGTAGAAGAGAAATAACACACCTTCTGCCGCATCGAACACTTGGGCCATCTTGCAAGACCAAGCACGGTTGTATCTTCAGATTTGTTTCGTGGAATTGAGATGCGGTAGGGCCTGATAAAGATACGAGAGATAAAGAGTAGCGAAAAGGAAGAAGAAGAAGAAGAAGAAGAAGAAGAAGAAGAAGGGATATCCTTCAGAAAACGGGACTCCCAAGATCATGTACCCGACCGACCTAGACTCGGCAACAGGCTACTAGTACTCGTTGTCAGCCCCGTTCAATGACCGAGCGTGCAATGTGCATAAATAGGCTTATCGGACTTGACTCCGACCAGGAGCCGTGTGGGGAAGTACTCCTAGTAAGACCCAGCTGTGGGAGGAGGAAGACATATGGCCAGCGGCCATTGAGATTCCTGCATTTGGTAAACTTGATAGCCGACGGGCCCGCTATTTCTTGCGGATTAGAGAACATCGCGCGATTATTGGTGGACAAATGGTTTCACAAAGTTCCAACGAGCTATGACGTTCTATATTGATCGTTATGGCGGTGAAAATAATATGTATCGTCAATCGCAGAAGGGTATGTTTGGAAATGTCGATATTCAAGTTCTATATGTATCTGTACAATGTAAGCGACTATGTACTAGTACTACTAGTACTAGTTGGGTCCTTCCCTCATCACTTCATTTGGTCAGCTGCTCCCCGCACGTGCATCTACTCTAGGCTGTTACCTGATGTCTCCTCCCCGCGCGAAATCCCTCTCTTTCGGAAGCCAACTTCCATCAGGCTCTTGGAGCAAAAGCTTCAATTCGAACACCTCTAGGCGGACCAAAGGTGTCTCCCCAAAGGATCCTCCTTACCTATTACATCGCATTGCCATATTAGATCGAGTCGTTAAATAAGAAAAGGAAGCGTGCATAAATAACGCGTCGCGATGTTCGAGGTGCGTCTACTAATTCGAATTACGGTGCTCTTTCTAGTACTTCCCTGTTGCTCATCATATTCTGTGTTACACTTTTTTATTTTTCTCCAAATATGCTCCGGTCTAACTAGTATCAGCGTCGTGCCGCTGATCGATATCGCCTACGGATGCACCGGGCTCGCACGGTTGCGCTAACAACTGATGAGATTGTTGAAGTGCGGGCAGCCCAGCGGACTTTTGAGGGAGCTTATGTCCGGACAGCATTATCACAATTTTCGTTTGCCCTCGTTGTGCTCAAAATTTTCACTAGTGAATTCTACAGCACAGGGGCTCTGTTCGCGATTTATGGCACTGGTGTGCTTATAATTGGTCTCTTCCGCCGCCAACAAGGGAATCGGCAGTTTTTCTCAGAGGTGGGAGAAGATGGCATCCACCGACATAAGTTTCGAACGAGCGGAAATGCGGTGGTCGTACTGACGGCTCTGAGTGTCGCCGCGTACGCTACGCTGATTGCTCTCACTCTCAGGCTGGATAAGTAAACGGGGTATCAAAGTCCCAAGGGAGTGATAAACCCAACAGGTTTATTATACTCCGTATCTTGGGTAATGGGATAGCGCCCCTGCGTAACTGCCAAGCGCCAAGAATCCCGCGGAATGCAGTTGTTCCTCTACCCCTTTGTCTGATTAGTACTATCCTCTACTGTGTGAATTTTCAAGGTGGAGAGAAACAAGCATTGCGGGTGTCATCAGAGCGCTCTGCTAATGGCGGTGATGCTAAGCGCCAAGCTGATATGCGACAGCGGCTGCGTATATCACAAAGAGCAGCCCAGCGGATCACCCTGTAGCACAAGACACAAGACTTCTATGCTTAGGTGGTTATTATAACCATATTGACATGCAACATTGATCATGGTGGATTTAGCAGCTTCTACAGTCAGCTGCAAGGGAAGACACATTGACCGAAGAGGTTCAACGCAGGGAAGCTTTAAGACTTGTTGGCGGAGACCACGGTTGCAGTTTACTATACCAGTGAAGCAAGGTAATATAGGCTCCTCGGTGTTTTCGGCCTGTTGCAGAAATTTGGACAGTGTGAATCAGTTGATCCAAAGTGAATTAACACGATCAGTGGGCCCTTCTCTTCATGATGATGGTACTGTGTACGGAGTACTTAAAGTCTCTTTTGTTTTTGTACTCTTGCCTAGGCCAAGCATTTCGATTTTTTCGTGTTTCCAGGGACGATTGGAGCCAAGATAAATTTGATTCTAATATCCTGTACGCAGTACTTGAAGATCTAACAACCTTTCTGGGAAGAAAGTGGATGGGGGGAAAATCTGTATTTTGTACATGTCGGGAGGGAAAATGATTAATTATAGCCAGCGTGGCCATTACATTTACATGGTGGACACTTCCTGACATCATGTTTCCATAGATCAACACGTCGGAGATCCACCAGTTTGTATGTCCGTCCTGTCAACCCACTAGTGACTTCATAGATTGTAAAGCTGGAATCATATATGTTGTTAAACTGTCTGCCCTAGGGTAGCTCACTTCCTTATTTACTTGATGTTGTTACAATTTTTCTCTTCCTTATTTATCGATTGTACAAGGAATTTTTATCAGTATATTGACTTATATTCTTCTCTTTGCTGATCTCTTCTGATTGAGTGGTGTAAGTAAAAGCGGGAAAAAGAAAAGGTCATAGCCATTTCTGAATACTTTTGTCATCTCTTGGACCATTACTTTGGTTTCTCCGAACAAGTTGATATTCTTTTCTTTTCTTTTCTTTTCTTTCCTTTCCTTTTTCTTAGGGGAGGGAGAACGCTTTTCTTTGGTCACCAACAAAGTGCAGTTGCTGAGGCAGTTTGAAGCCAAACAGTGACGTTTAGTGCTGCTCTACTTGACTCATCCGTCGCCCACCGGCAGCTCCGCTCCTATTCTTTTCTTTTTTTTTTTGCCAACCCTCTACGCCCCTCACCATCGGACTTCAATTCTAAACAGGAGGTTGGCTGATTCAAAGATTATTTACATCTGCCTTGGACTTCCACTTGTGCCCTGAGGGTGAAGACCCGGACTTACCACAACTTTTACCGACCGCATACTCCAACCTATTGCTCAGAAATTGGCTGCATCCCCCTGCGCCACTGGCGGGGATGTCTCAACAACACACCAATATTGCACGCTCGGCGATCATGACAAGCGCGTCAACGCCCGATTCTTCGCAAAACCGTGTACCAGATAGTTCCGACGGAGTCTCGTCAAATGGAAGTTCTAGGCCCGGAATCGGGAAAGATGCGAATCTTATGCCTCCGGCAAAGACGCTGGTCGGAAGAGCGCTAGGAAATGACCTGCATTCCGATGCCCACAGAGGCTCACAAGCATCCAAGGATGGTGTCGGGTTCGCCCTAACTGACACTCCGGTTTCTACCGCACCTTCGTCTCCACAATTGTATGTTCCCTTTCACTTTTTCGTTCGCTCGTTGGTTGTCTATTATTGTCTAGATCTTGAGTCACAGACGTGGGGGGTTTTAGATTGCCCTTAAATTCCCCTCAACTTTGATCGGCAGTTGTTCCTCCGAGCCATATCGGCCAGGGGGTTCACGTAAAAAGCTGTCGTCTAATTGACGATCCCGTGTGTCTATTATCGTGCTTCTTGTTGTTTGATGCCAATTAGTCTTTATTTTATTCTTTGGTGTTCTTTCGGCTTGATTATCTTGAGACTAATGTCCTCGTCAGCAATGCTAATAACACTCCAACTACGACCGCCTCGACGCCTGGTCGGGTTCGTGCCACCACACTTGATATTCCAGGTCTCACCAAATCCAAGGTGTCGCCTGACGGTCGGATTGCTCAACGGGATGTTGGGTCCAAGCTAGTCATTGTCATGGTCGGCCTTCCTGCACGTGGGAAAAGTTATGTGACCAAGAAATTGGCTCGCTACTTGAACTGGCTGCAGCATGACACCGAAATTTTCAACGTAGGAGAACGTCGTCGCGTCGCTGCTGGCAAGTCCCCCTCGCCTCCTGGAAGGCATAGGAGTCATAGAACAAGTTCAATCCAGAAGGATCTCGTCGACTCCGTACGACGTTTGAGCGTCAGCGTTGGCGCGGCGAATCACCTCCGGAAGAATACAGTCCCCTATGAGGCCGTAATATCACCTCCTGAGGCTCATGAGCCTGCGGCGTCTCCCCCCGAACTCGAAAACTCACTTCCGCCTCCTGTTGTCCCCACGAAGATCCTCGTTAACGGTAAGGAGGAAGACCCGTCTCTGGGGCAAAATGGAATCACTATTGTGCCACCATTTAATGCGTCACCAGATGACAACAAGGCTATGCGAGAAGCATCCCCTGAACCGCTTGACCAGTCTGCAAGCTTCTTCGACCCCAAAAATCAGCTGGCCGTGAAGCTTAGAGAGCAGGTAGCCCTGGACACCTTAGACGAATTGTTGGACTATATCCTTGACAGGGGTGGCAGTGTTGGCATCCTTGACGCAACTAATAGCACGATGGAGCGCCGCAAAGCGATTGTAGATCATATTCGCACGCGTGCTGGTCCTGAGCTCGGTATCTTGTTCCTGGAGAGCAGCTGTGTGGATCAAGAGCTACTGGAGGCCAACATGCGCTTGAAATTGTCAGGTCCGGACTATAAGGGCCAGGACCCAGTGAAAGCATTAGAGGATTTCAAGAAGCGTGTTCAACTATACGAGAAATCCTACGTGCCCCTCGGTGAATACGAAGAAAGACATAATATGGCTTATATCAGGATGATCGACGTGGGTCGCAAGGTTGTGTCGCATCAGACTCACGGTTTTCTCTCATCTCAAGTCGTCTACTACTTGTTGAACTTCAACCTCTCACCGCGGCAAATATGGATTACCAGGCACGGCGAGAGTAAGGATAACCAGGCTGGCCGAATCGGTGGTGACTCAGAACTCAGCGAGAACGGCCATCGCTATGGCAACGCACTTGCTCGGTTCATCGATCACCAGCGAAACGAGTGGGAAATGAACCAGAGACAGAAAGAAATGATGCAGAAGTTCCCTCCCCGTCCAGGTGATAGCACTCCGCCCAACCCTTCGTACATTCCCAGTGACCGGCCACGCAATTTCTGTGTTTGGTCCTCCATGATGCAGCGTGCGATTTCGACGGTCGAGTCTTTCAATGAGGATGAATACGATGTCAAACAAATGAAGATGCTCGACGAGCTTCATGCGGGAAAAATGGAGGGCATGACATATGACGAAATCCGCGAAAGGTTTCCTGACGAATACGCGACTCGTAAACGCGACAAGCTGTATTACAGATATCCTGGACCCGGAGGTGAAGGGTATCTGGATGTTATCAACCGACTCAGAGCAGTGATTGTTGAGGTTGAGCGAATGACCGATCATGTTTTGTTGGTCACTCACCGAGCCGTAGCACGCGTCCTTCTGGCTTACTTTAAGGGCCTCAAATGCGACGAGGTGACGGATCTAGATGTGCCTTTGGGGATGTTGTATATGCTCGAGCCCAAGCCATACGGGGTTGAGTTCAAAGCATATCGCTACAATCCAAATACCGACTGGTTTGATTATATTCCCAATTTCGAACTACGCCAGACTAGCGCTAATTAGATCGTACGATGACTTCCGCTATGGATAGAGACGAGATGTGCTCTCCATCTTTAGAAGCCTGCACTGATCACCGCTGTGTCCTTGGAATTGCTATGACCTGCTAATGAAATGAATATCTGACTTTGGCTATGACTATGGTGTTACAATTCGCTGGCCGTCATTGTGGCTTCGTGGAATCCTTGATTAGGTGACATTCGCCGCTGGTGTTATGGTTATTCTGGCGTTGATAAGTGCAGCCTGTTATGTAACCAACATATGTAATGTTAGGAAAGATTTGTTTCCTCTTTCTGTTTATCTTCTAGTCATCAGTGTTGTACTTCGCTCCCAGGGACGTATCCACGATGGCTGGATCCCTTACTTGTTTGCTTGTGGCTTATGGTGGTTTCATCTGTTTGCGTGGCATTGCGTTGGCGTTGAGGTCAAGTTACTTCCCATGGGGCTGTTTTTGCAGAACATGGATTCTGTGTGATTTTAGAAGGATGTAATAACAGAGAGTGATGCCGTGGTCTACAGACTCTCTACGCCCGTGTCTGCTGTTAGACCCCGTTTGGCACGCGATTCGTAGATGGTATGCAATCAATGGCTTTCTCATGTATCAGGCATGACTGAACAACAATCGTTATTCATTGCACTCGGTCATCCCTCGGTACTCTAGCCTAAGAGTTCTGCTTCGCCTGCTCAAAAGCCTGCAAAAATGCCGAGGGATCCTCGGCTCCCCCAATGGCATATTGCCCTTGGATCGTGTAATAGGGCACACCAGTAACCAATTGCCTCTGGGCTCGAGCTGCCTCCAAATCAACTTCCTGCCCTCCATCATCGGATTTCAGAAGCCTCTCTACTTCACCTCTATCCAGCCCGGCCAGAACCGCAGCCTCCAGGAGCATTTTCTGGTCTGTGATATTTCCCCCCTCCTCGAAGTATGCCTTGAAAAGATTCTCGACAACCTTCGTTTGCAAACCACCGACTACACCCGGTTCGGTGGCCGCGGGAGCGCCAGCTTCCCTCTCCTTCTTCCCAGCATACCAAATCACCCGATGCGAATCCCGTGTGTTCCCCAGCTTGCCGGAGAATTTGAACGCTATCCCTTCTTGTCGTCCAACCTCGCCGAGTTTGTTAGAGATCTGAGAGAACCCATCTTCACCAAACCGACTGATATAGTACTCTCTCTTGTCTAGGCCTGGGTAAGGCGGGTTGTCGGGTCTCAGGTAGTAGGCATGCCAGGTGAGAGTGAATGTATCAGCGGGGTGGATGGATTTATGGGTTGCAATGGCCCGGGAAAGACGGCGCAAGCCTACGTAGCACCACTGGGGTGGTAGGTTAGATATAAGTCGTGTATGAAGGGGCAAACGAAGAGAAGGGGGTCGTACCGGACAGACGGTGTCTGAGATGATCTGGATGTTAAAGTTCGTCATAGTATTATGACCCAGGTTATTATAGATCATAAATCGGATCAAAGAGATATAGTAGGTTCTTACTGAGACATGGGCATACTTCTGTATATATACTGAGTTCCTAACAGTACTAACTAGTTATGTATGTATAGTTAGTTAGTTACACGGCTTAATAACTAATCAGATCTGATTTGTCAGCAAGGGTGGATGAACACTGTCCATGGTATGAGTGAAACTTGCTGCTTTACAAGATTTGTATGTATTCAGTCACAATTATTATGGATGCCACTGATAATAATGACTCAGGCATAAATACTCCAAACACTGGCTTATAAACTGTGTAGTGCTACTAAGTATGCAGTAGTACACTTCGTGATTTTATTTCCACCGCTGATATCATCTTGCATCTGGAGAAATGACATCATAACAAGAAAAACCCGGGGAAGAAAATCAATAAAGACGAGGATTGAACCATTACATTTGACCGATCGATTTCCATAGCAGATTCTGTTCGTCAGTTACTGATCAGGAAATAGGTAAGCACATCAGCAGACTAGGGTCACAAGGGGTCTGCTCTGTAGTTTTGGAGAGTTTAATTGTTATTATCACTTGCTGTTTATCTACAGCACAGTCTTCTCGTTCTACTCACGGCCTGACAACTGATTCCAATGCACTCCACATCTGCAGAGCTATAAATATCGAACTGGCCCGTGCCAAATCTCAATGAGTACCAACCCTCTCCCTCGCTGTCATGATTCAGCCTGGTTTTTTCTCCATGTCTTCATTCTCAACATCCCCCCCAGTCGACTTTTTCTCTTCCCAGCGTTAGCTGGCTCGGTATGGTTTCTGACCCTGGCATCCCTACTGTTAATATGGCTCGCCCACGGAATGCCCCAATACCCAGGACAGAGTAACCAGCATGTTGCGTTCGTAGCTTCTTTACCCCCTCGTCCTAGACCTTTGTATGACGTATTAACGCAGAGTCAGCTTCATCTCCGACATAGCGTCTTTCGAGTTGAAGCCACTTTTTCTCGTCGGCGCTTCTATTACAGCCGTGGGTTTCGTGACTACCGTTGCTGTGGTTCATGTAGTGCGCTATGAGCCGGGATTCGCCTTGGTGAGATGTCCTCCAACCGACAACCGTAATGACAATGGCGACCATGACATTACTGGGCATAGCAGTTCGTATAATAGTCACTGTGACCATCATGACTCCTACAGCGAGGATGAAGAGGATCATGAAACTACGAGAAGCCTAAAGCTTATCTCTCTGCTAGCCATCTTCGCTGCAGGTGTGGCTAGTATCGCTCTGATTCTACTGGCGGTCATGGACACCTTTCGGTATAAGAGCGCACATCACCTCTTCCTCCAGGTCTGTTTCGCCGGTCTGGCAATACAGTCTGCTTGTACTGCTATTGTATATTCGAACGAGGTACTCGGGTTTGTGTCATATGTCTACCATCTGGGTGTATGGCAACACGATTGGGGGAGGAGAAGTTTACGAGTTAGGGTGTTGTATGTGTACCCTGTTCCTATCCCTTTGAATTGACCCCTGCGATTACTGCTACTTGTCGGATCTCTCAGCGCTCATCTTCCGTTATCATAAACAAGCAATACTGATCTCCCGAATTAGTGCCTCCCTCTCAACAGCCTTGATCATTACAGAACTCTTCCTCGGAGTGGCCTTTATCTCTCTGACCGTACCGGAGGAAGTCGCAAGCTATCGAAAGGCAGGGATCCTTGAATGGATTATTGCATTTCTGGGGACTATCTATCTTTGGTTATTTTGTGGGTTCCTCGACCGGTATGTACTGCCATCGTGCACCATATTCCACCCCACTATATCATTGACCATTGAGTCAGAACCAATTTTGACGGCTACGTCCCAAGCGTGCTTTACGGTCCCCCGGTACAAAGAAAAGATGTCCAACCACCCGAAAGCTTACGGGGCCAGATACGGAATTGGGACCCTGAGCGCGCCCACCTAATTGAGGGACCTTCAGGTGGGATATATACGTGAGTTTAGGTTCCCTGCTTCACCATATATGAATACCGATTCAGACATACCTGGATACTTTATAGAACCTACAGTAATTTATAAACAATTCTAACATGCGAGAAACTTGGCCATTTCGAGATATTGGATTTAGGAGAAAGAAGCATGACTAGCATACACTTGGGAAAAGACTAAGACAATGTGAGTGAACGTAACCTTCCAAGCGACGTCGTCGAGTTGGTAATACTGTTTCGTAGGTCAATTGCACCGAACGGTCAGTGAGTTTTCTGACTATTCCACCTTGCCTTTTTTTTTTTTTTTGTTTTTTTCTTTTGTTGCCCATAACACCTTCGAATAGCATCGCTGGTCATTGTTTCATTCTTAAACTTTTCATTGTTAAATTCCTTCCGCAACAAAGGGTACAATACACATCAAATATATAAAAGCTTCTGCTCACTCAAACTTGAGTAGCCAGGCTGCCGTTATCTCTACGGGAAATGCCTTTTGCTTGATTTTCAAATTGATGATAGGCTTGTCATTGGAGTCACTTCACCCAGTATAGCAGCTCTCAGAGTGCGTGTCCACCTTGGTTGACCAAAGTAGGCATATCGGTGTGAGAAGGCTGCTCCTGTCTGAGCTTTTCCAAAGTCGAAGAGTACTGAACCACGAGTTAGCTATTGGTCTGAACGAGATGGCCATCGACGGGTTCCGCCTACCTTGAAAGCAAAGTTCAATACAAGGGCTATGGCCAATCCGATACACACAACTAGCGGTCCAAAAGTATTGTCTAGATCCCGCCCGCTTCGTTGGCGGATAAGTCGAGAGCGCTTTTCATACATATACCACCCCCAGGCTGCGGAAAAGATTGCAAAGCAAGTATAGACGATAGCGAGGGCGCGAGCTATGTCATTGGTTTTACCCGCCGCGTTATAAAGACCCAAGGAGAGCGAGGAAAGAAGGATACTGACGTGAAGCCATTTTATAAAGGTTCGCTGGTTGGCAAGCCACACTTTACTTTCAACCTTGACAGGTCCAGAATCTTTGATCCATGTACCTGGCTCCCGTACACCCGGCGGCAAAGCAACCGAAGCCTGCTGCACGCGACTTGCACGTGAAAAAGAAAACGTTGGGAACAAGGCAGCCAGGCGGGACAGGGTCACAGGTCGGTCCTCTTGCTCCAGTGATTCAGGTACATCATGAGAGACTCCCTCTGAGGCAGATGGCCTGGAGGACGGTGCTACCTGTGGTGATGGTCTCGGGCGTGAGGAACTTTCGACGTCCGGTAACCTAGAGATAGGGGATCCCACCAAGGGCTTTACAGACGGGCTCGCCCTGTTGCCAAGGAAGCTTCCAACTGCCATGTCATCTTCCGCCCGTTTTGCAATTCTTTCTTGCTCTTGCTGGAACGCAGTTTCAGGATCCCGGCGGATGTCATTTTCCATCTCACCAAGCCAGAAAGGAAAGCTGTTGACATGGTCTTCAAAAAGCTGTGCGACGCCGTGGACAAATTTAGAAAACCGCGGGGCTTCCTTCACAAGGTGTGAAACCATCAGATCATTGACCCATTCAGCTTTATGTGCAGACTCTCCCCTCAGCTTAATCTCCAGCAAACCATACGGGAAGCGCGCGATTTCACCTGTTCGGACGGTACTGAAGGGATATTCCAAACCGACATTGTCGATATCAGTACGGTGCCATTCGTTCGGGTCACGGCAGGGTCGCTCTTCATCCAAAGAGTCTTCCCGAATTAGTGCTAAATTCGTGTCGAGAGAGATGCGGATCCGATCATCGCCAGGAATTTGGAAAGCTGTGCGAGTATAGTTGGCTCGCAGCATGGGTTGCACCTGGTGCGCCTTAATGAACGATTGAAGCTCATCCACATCTCTCTTGAGAGATTCTGCCTGCTCCGACTCTCCATTACCCATGTCGGTCATCCGATGGAGCTTCTTGTCAAATCGATATTCGCCGTCGAGAAATTCTTTCACGTGCTTCTGCTTCAGCTGCACCTTCACCTCTTTACTGCGATCGTCATCGGTCACGACCTTCTTCTCCAAGAAAATAGCAGGTTTGTCTTTCAGATTTCCAGTCCATCTAATCCTCAAAGAGCTAGCCTCTGGTGCACGTGCGACCTTTTGAGTGTAAAGGTCGAATTGTGGGGTGTCAAAGTATAGGGAGGTTATTGTAGGGTCGTCTGGCAGTGTCTCTAATTCCTTAGAAGTGCCAGGGTTATAGATGAGGACCGGCAATCGTCGAAGGATGTAAGTTTTGACTTCTAGTATGTTATCGGAATGTACCCAGAACTTGAATGACGAGTATGAATCTTGGCCGAACCGAGGCGCCTCCACATCCTTGGGCTCAACAACACCCTGACTCGATATCTCACGAACAAAGGAATACATCACCGACAACCTGCGAACTAGGGGCGAATAATCTTCCGAGTTAAATGGCAGCTGCGATAACCGGACTTGAAGCAGAGGCTTAACGCGATATCGGGCCCCTCGCTTTCTATCATGCTTCTTCGCAGCTTTGAGGAAACCGGTGAAGTTGATGCGACTGTACTTTTCGAGCTCGCTCACTTCTTTGGTGATACCATCTAATTCATGAAGTACTTCGGAAGCGATAGTCTTCCTCTCATTTTCGTCGATTATAGTGGGTGCCTCGTTTTCGTCAGAGGGCGCCAGTGGCCGCAGCTTGGTTTCACAGGCAGAAGTACGTTCCCTCAACTGCTGTGAAGTCTCCACTTGAAAAGCGTTGATTTTGTCTACTTGAACGTTGATCAGTTCCTGGACAAAAGCTTCCTCATCCTGTTCCGTCCATTGAGTGTCCGAGTCACTGCCATCTCCGGTGACATCATGCTCTCTCAAGAGGACCTTGAGCTTATGGTAATCGACGTACTTCCCACTCCATGGGGGATAAATTGAATTCTTAAGAGTTTTACCAAAGCGCATGGTGGTCCAGACACGACTTTGGAGCTGTCGTGAAAGCGAGTGTGGTGGGGAAGAGTAGTCGGTAATTGAGTTCGAAGGGATAGAAAAGGCGCCCTTTGAATAGATAAGGACAACAACTGAGAAAAATCGGGATATAAGATGGATTACTGCTCACTCACTCCATCTGAAGCTGTGGCAAAGAATGGGAGAAAAAATTTCCGTGGACCAAAATTTACTGCAATTATAGTGTCGTGAAGGTGTTAGTCTAGTACCTACCCCCCTGGGGCATACTAGTCCATAATGTCCATACTATCGCAATGGCTTCTGGACGCACGTGCAAAGCTTTCCTTCCATTTCTGGTAAGGTGGCACACCGGTTAATGGGCCAGTCATAGCGAGCAATGCCGTTTGGGCCCGCTGGGCGGTAGTTACAGTGTATGTAAAGTAAATACGCTACGGCATGCTTTCAGTTATTGGATACCTCGCAATACCGATACGGATAGGCCCGAGGTTGTTGATAAGGATTCTCCGACAGTAATTCTGGTCTCCTCCCTATACCGGCCTCAACTACTTTGCCAGCTTCTCAATTGCTAACTGAGCCTTTGTGTTTGCTTTGTCTATTAGCTGGAGTATCATTGCTTAGTTGGTAGAGGCGTTCTCATGTACCTGGATAATTGACGTCGATGGAGACACCAAAGTCCGAGTTGATGGAAGCAATCCTGCTCTCCAGTTCTCTTCATGACGTACTGCTGTACCTCCATGACCATCCGTATCCTCACGTTCCCAATCCGCCAGCATGCAAGAAACGCGCCTCCGTGGCCCTCGTCCTTCGTGTCCGACCTACATATAACCACTGGCCCAATTCGCAACATCCGTCTCTCTCTCCGCAAGAGAACAACACTACGTCAGTCAAGCAACGCTTAAATACTTTTTTCTCTCAGGACTGGGTTCAGAACGGTGATCCCGAGGCTCTCTTCATCAAACGAGCTTCCCGTGTGGGAGATCGCTGGACTGGCCATGTTGCTCTACCTGGAGGAAAGCGAGATCCAGAAGATGCGGACGACAAAGCTGCTGCTATTAGGGAAGCATCAGAAGAAGTAGGGCTCGACTTAACGGCGGATGAGTGTATATTTGTTGGGAATTTACCGGAGCGTGTCGTATCTACTGGCTGGACCTCCGTTCCGTACGTTTTTCTTCTGTATCTTTTCTCAGCTCAGCTACTGACGGTGTTGATCCAAGCTTGATGGTTCTTTGCCCTTATGTGTTCCTTCTAACATGCAGTGATTCCCCGACCCTCCGACTACAGCCAACTGAGGTTGCATCAACCCATTGGGTTCCTCTCAGGGCTCTCCTTTCTCCTTCGCAGCGTACGGTGGAGTATGTCGATATATCGCAGCGCTATGCGAAAACATCTGGATTCATTACCCGCCTTACTTCTCGTTACATCTTGGGCCTTATGGAATTTTCTGCTGTCCGGTTAAGACCGACTGAAAGCCTTCAGTGCAATCAGTCGTTTGGGGTTGCCGTTAAAGACGGCCGAGGACCGTCTCTTCCAATGCAACGATTAAGGACGTGGTTCTTGGGCAACCGAGCTGATCCTGAGAACCAAACCCAGCCCCTTCTTCTATGGGGTTTGACTCTCGGTATTCTAGCTGACTTTTTAGACATGCTCCCGCCTCACACAGCTGTGCAGCTGTGGGAGTACCCTACGTTTACCTTCCCCGATCTACGATTGATTACCAGCATCCTAACTTATCGCCTACGGAAACGCAACAAGCTCCAGGCCAAGTCTGGATCTCCATTGAGCAACACAGCGGTTGGCAGTCAAACATCTGCTGTGACTGTAACCGGTGATAACGATGCTGCGGACGCGAACCGTTTTCATAATGAAGTTGGTATCGAGGGGCTAGGAGTTGGCAGGTATTATGGGTCATCTAAGAGCAAAGAGTCGGAACGGGATACACATGCTGTTGGTATAATGCTTAAAGGCTATTATGCTAAACTCAGATTGGCTATCCAGATTTTCTTGGCGTGGCGAGCTGCGATAGGTTCCTTAGCTGCGATTTACGCATGGAAACTATTCCGACGCCAAAAATAATTGCACATTACTAAGTGTTGCCATATGGACATCATACGGAGTAATGGACCTGTATATAATTTCAAGTATTAAGTTTAAGTAGAGTATGATGCTGTATCTCGTTCTCTAGATACATTACATAATGACTCGAGAATTTATGTGTATTATATCGTAATTACATGGCTGTATCGTACCAAATCATGCAGTATATTGGTAAAACATGTTACGTTACATAAACACGCCAAGCCGAAGCTTATCAAAATGACGGTTTGCTATGTGGTGATCCACCAACATCGGCAGACCATCGTCTTCTTTGCCGCCTGGTTCATCTATACTTAGTCTCACTTCGACATTACCGGTGACGATGGCCGCCACGCAAAAGCTTTATCCGCGCGGAACGGTGAAGCGTATTGTTAAATCCCAGTCGAATCGCAACGTGAGCAAGAATGCTGATATACTGGTAAGTACTCTCTGGATTGCCAGAAAAGCGGCATTGATGGTTAGTAACTTGCTGCTTTCACTGTTTCATAGATCTTCCTGGACTATATGCTTTTCATGCAAGAGTGAGTGATTATCGTTATTCTCTAGTCCTCTTGCTATGTACGCGCCACAAGTTGGAATATAATGTGCAGAAGACTGGCAAAGAATACGACGGTGAATTCGATACTAAAGGATCCTTTTTAGATTGGTACGCGAAGCATCAATTCGCTCGCGCAAAGCTGGTGACAAAACCATTGGCCCAAATTCCGTCCGAAAGGTGACCGAGGTAGGCTTCTGATTCATTACTGCATTTGTGGTTCCTTTAGCTCTTTTTTCTCACTATCATGCTCTTCCCCTAGAGGACATTACGCAAGTTTAAGGCTTGATCATACAATGACATTTCATGCACTGTGCATATCCCTGAATGACCTCACGAGAAACCATGGGAGGCAGAGTCTACAAGATACCGTGGCTGGATTATTATTGTTTTAGCATTGAGCATGGGAATAGGTACTACCATGGCGCTTAGTTTTTTCCTCTCCCTGTTTGGTCATATCAAGTTTGGACAAGAATGAGGGATGTGGAGGCGTTACTTAGGAGTTTATTCTTATGATACCCCAATGTATTTGTTCCAATGACGACTTATTCCGACTCACGTCAGGCACACACGCTTCTCCCAGGTCCAATTGGCTTTAGAGTGAAAAAATCCCTAAAAAGACGCACATGCGCCCCCAAGGCTGCAGCCATTGACTCGGTAGCTGCGTGCCTACTGGCTGAGCGTTGTTCTGGGTGCTTTGTTGAGCTGCACGCGACAGAAGCGGCCTGAGGTTCGGAAGAGTTCCACCCGCATCTTTCGCACCGCCAGCTTTCTTTTTCGTCTTCGAACACCTCTGCTCTCTAGCTCTTCTTCCAACACGCCTTTAATTCATCCTTTATCCTTTTTGTATTAAATTATTCAAAATCTCCCTCCCATTTCCTTCCTCACATCAAGCCTTTATATCCTCAACACTGTTTCTATTGCGTCCACTCACTTCTAGGGAAACTCATCAGAGACGTCATCCCTCAGCATCATGGCTGCCGCTTCTGTCAATAACAGTAACCCTCAGGCACAGCCCGAGTCACCCTCGGAGAAGCCCAAGCAAAACCATATTTCTACCCCTTCGGTTAGTTCGAAATTAGATGGAGCGACTGCCAACGGCGTGGACAGCATTGACAGTCCGTACTTCAAAGAACTGCAAAGGCTCGTCATTTCTAACTGAAGTTTTGCGCATTCGCACTTTGATATGGAGCTAACAATACGCTTATAGGAGCTTGCGCAATACTGTGAAGAAGCTGGTCAGTGACCACGCCCCAGACTCCCCTCATGTGTCCCTTGCCGCTCACATTACCTTGGATAGAATGCGACCGCTAAAGTTGATGCCATCATTGCCGAGAATCCCGGGAAATCCCTTGATGACCTGGTTGCCGAGAAGAAGATAAATGCCGACCAAAAGGCGCAGGCATTGAAGAAGCCCGCTCTGCAAGTCACCATCGCTCAGATTGAAGAGCAGATCACCAACTACAAGGAATTTGCTGCCCAGTACGAGCAACGCCTGGCCACCCAGCAGGCCGAATTAGAGAAGGCCCATAAAGAGGAATTGGACGAAATTCAGGAGAAAGCTGTCTCTGAGGCCAATAAAGCGAGTCAGATTGTCTTGAGACAGCGCCTGCTTAGCTTGAGCAAATTTCTCTGTGCTGCTGCCACCATGAGACGCTCTGGTGACGAAACCTCCAGTCTGACTCGTGCCTTTGAAGGTGTTCTATACCAGGTTTATGGAGGGTCACACGAGGCCGTCACTTCGATGTTAAAGTTAATTGATGGTGTAGATGAAAAGGTTGTCAGTGTTGAAGGGGAGGCACTGGAGATCACCTGTAAGGCAACTACCTCCAGCCCCAATGTCCCAGCTACTCGTTGCTAACGCCTCTGGTCCATTAGATAACAAAGTGAAACAAACTTCTGAAGAACACGCCCCCGCAACCGAAGAAGTAGGCACGGATGCTGCTCCCGAATCGGATCCTACTTTGGCCAATGTCGGTTACACTGAGCTCCAGGATTCCTCTTATGACACCGGGACCCCCGCTGCGAGCGAGCCCACCAATGCTGTATCCCAGCCCGAGCAGGTCACTCCACCAGCGCAGACGCTCGTTGGCGATGCCGCTAACCCTGTTGCCGAGGCTAGCTGGAATCCCAAGACTGGCGATTCTCTTGCCTCCTCGGCGAATACCGATGGCTGGGTTGAAGTGCCACGTGACCCTACCGAGACTGATACTGGCCTTGAGGCTACCCCTGTAGCTGCTGACACGGGCGACAACAATGTGACTGCAAAAGAGACTACGGACAATGACGCTGAGAATATCACTGTGCCTAAATCGCAAGGCGGCGACGGTTTCGAAGCGGTCGTGCATCATCAGAGACAGCCTAGTTCCCGTGGTCGTGGCCGTGGCGGGCGTGGACGTGACGGGTTTCGGGGACGCGGACGTGGCGATTTCAGAGGTCGTGGTAGAGGTCGTGGCGGTCGCGGACGTGGCGGACCAAATGGCAACATAGTCACACCTCCTACCGGATCTCAGTAAATGATGCGCTTCAATTGTCAGTGAGCCTACCGCCTGGGTCGGGGTAGGCTGTGTGAGAGTCTGTCACCAGTTCCCACGCTTTCTGCTTTACCATACACCAGACTTCTCTGACACTGCTTCTTGGGTTCCCTCAAAGTCTCTCCTTTCTCACTGCGGCCATTGTGGACTTCTGCATTCTCTATCTGTCTTGCTATTCCTATCTAATAGGTCATGGGTAACGGTGGTGTTACGGGTCACGAAAGCGACGAATCTTCTGAAATGCTTACAACAAGGGGCCGGAAGGCTGAGGAAAGAGACATTGGCTAATGTCTTTACAAGTCTTCTTGACTTTAGGTCTCTTTCTTTTGGAAGATTAACTCCAAAAGTCAGTTCCTGGTTGTACATGTCTTGCATCTTTGAGCGTGCATGGTATATTGCTCTTTAATCTCTTTCTTCTCTTCTCCCCCCCCCCTCCCTTCTTTCTCGTGGGTAGCTCAGCTCTCACGGCTGCGCTTTAACTAGCCAACACTCTTCTTCTGTATTTTATTTTCTAATTTTGTTGGCGGATGGGGACGATGGCTGGACCGTTGGACGTAGTAGTGATTGGACGGAGATTGGCTGTTGACAGCCTGAGAGGATACGTTTGTGGGTGAAAGTGCGACTGGACCTGAGTTTCAGTGTAATAAAATTGCAGTCAGTCAATGGGACCAGCGGCAGATATATCATATCACTGTACAAGTTGTTTGAATCATTACGAGTGATTCTATGCCCTTTGTAGTATAGTTATTTCGCCGATCATGCAGGCGTACTAGTAAGAGATGTTAATGTAGTTAATGTGGTAATTTAACTAACGTAACTGGTAAGCGAGCGACGCATGTAAGCTGGCGACGCAGCTCTGTATTCCATACAAATCAGCCCTTTTTACTACTCGAATATCTCAGTAACCACAAGCTGTAATAATCCAAGATTTTAGAAGAGTATATAATAGTACTTAATTATTAATATATAAAGTAGAGAAGCTTATATAAACAATACTTCTTTCAGTATTAAATATTATATCTATATTTTTGATATTTCTCCTGGACAGTGTAAGACTAAGAATAAAAAAAAATTAGTGAAAAATATTTTTAGCTTTATTTACCCTATAATATATTATATATAAAATATTATATCTTTGAAATCTCTGGTTGCTGAGATATCCAAGTAGCAAAAAGGGCTGATTTTTACGGAATACAGAGCTGCGTCGCTGGCTTGCATGCGCAGCTCGTTTACCAGTTACGTTAACCTAGGTAACTAACTAGTTATATCATTCATCTGTTTTGGACCGGTCACCCCCCAGCTATTTGGGATCCTGAAACCTTCATGTTGGACTCTTTCTTCTTCTTTTTCTTCTTCTTCTTCTTCTTCTTCCTCTTCCTCTCTTTCTTGCTTTTCATTTATCCATAGACTTGGCCCTTTCCCTTTTCTATCGTTCATTCACATCCATCAATCGTCATGGCGCTAGCCGCTGACCAGCGAAAGATGATCCTCAAGGTCTTGATGACATCTTTGCTTCTGGATTTGGTACCTAACCCTCAATTTCTATTCATCTGACTGCGCTGTCTTAACCATCTTCTTCTTTCAGATATCCTTCACCTTCATTCTACCGCTATTTCCTTCCTTATTGACTTTCTACCGCAACGAAGACCCTTCCCCCACGTCTCTCTTGAATCAGATATTCCACTACCTAAACGCTTACAAGAACGCTTTTGCCAAAACAATTGACTCCCGCTATGATATCGTCCTTTTAGGAGGCGCCCTGGGCTCGCTCTTCTCTTTCCTCCAGGCTCTTGCCGCCCCTTTCATTGGGCATCTCTCCGACAAATATGGCCGCAGGACGGCGCTCCTATGCTCAATGGCGGGCAATACCCTTAGCGTCGCGCTCTGGGTTGCTGCCACAGACTTTCGCACCTTTGTTGCAAGTCGCATTGTTGGAGGCCTTAGTGAAGGCAATGTGCAACTGGCTAATGCTATAGCCACTGATATCAGCGATGCCAGTCAGAGGGGCTCGACCATGGCCTTAGTGGGCGCTTGCTTTAGCATTGCATTTACTTGCGGCCCAGTGTTGGGGGCAGCACTTTCCAACATTACGACTGTAGCTGCGAATCCGTTTGCAACAGCTGCGGGCATGTCGCTTCTTCTGATCGTCGTCGAGACACTCTATCTGTACCTCTACCTTCCGGAGACGCACCCCCGTCTTACCAAGCTCACCCATGCTACGCCCCAGTCCAACGGTACCAAGTTTGCGAGCAGTGAAACAAGTCGTTCAGCACTGCGCGTGCATACTAATAACCCTGCCATGCTCAATCTGATCCATTTTCTCTTTCTCCTTCCTTTCTCGGGCTTGGAGTTTTCCCTTCCCTTCCTGACCGCGACATTCTACGCCGGGCACAAAGCAAGCCCATCCGCGCTAAACGGCCGTCTCTTGTCCATGATGGGTCTCATTGCATCCTTGCTTCAGGGTACCGTGGTACGACGCTTGCCCCCGCTCATTACTGTCCGCGCGGGTGTGGTAGCTTGCACCATTTCGTTCTTCCTTCTTGCTCGTGTTTCTTCCCTGCCCGGGCTATACGCTGCGAGTGGATTCCTAGCCATCACAAGCGCTACTGTTGTAACCGGGTTGAATAGTCTTGGGAGCTTCGAAGCACGAGAAGGAGAGCGCGGCGCTGTGCTGGGCCGGTTGAGAAGCTGGGGGCAGGTGGGCCGCGCAACGGGGCCTTTACTCTTCTGTTCACTCTTTTGGTGGGTTGGCCGCGAGATTGCCTATACCACTGGAGGATTGCTGATGCTTGCTGTTTGTGTTGGAGTGTTCACGACATTGAGGTCGCCTCCTATTGCACCTGCAGCTCAAAAGAAGAAATGAGGATAAGGTCTGAATGTCGCCACCGGCCTTGCTACTAGTATATATAGGCATATACGTCGATGACGTAATGTCTGTTTGTGAACTTGTAGAATATGCCGATAGACTTCATGGGTTTATTGCTCGGCTCACTGCTGGCTCAGTGGCCGGGATTGTCTGTTCTGGCAGTGATCTCACTTCATAGAGAAGAAACTCAACTAGCTTCACTGAGAACTGGAAACACGCGCAGAATTTTTCAGTTGTTGCTGGGTATAAGATACATAATGATGGCAAAAAAAATACATTGTAAAGTAGGGAGTTCCTGTTAATTGAGTCTCGAGAGCCACGCCATCATCGAGATTGACGCTCGATAGCCCTGTTAACC